TTTTACCATTCTTTTCTCATAAACTTGTATGTTTACTAGAGGAAATTCTTTTTATTGACAGAATGTTAACTTTAAAGCTGAACTTGCTAGTTGTATTTTCATACCATGAACTTAACATTTTTTTTTGTTTTAAACATGACTATGAATATGAAATCATATGACCACCAAAACTGAATAAAAGATAAATACTGGATTAGAGGTAATACACGTATAATTTACTATTTTAGCATATTTTCAAATAATTTCAAATGGGTAGTTTTAGGTATGTGAGAAGAGAGATTAATGTTAAAGCTGAAAACTTGTGATTCAGGCTGAATCTGGTAACTGAGTGTGAAAAAAGAATTCAGCAAGTTAGTCAGCTGTGAGACTTTAAGTTGAGTTCAAGCTATGTTCATGGATGATAGATGTATTTTCTGGTTTCCATGCTGCTGTTTGCCGCAGTGGAGGAAGGGGTGGATGGGCTTTGTCACCTCCAAATGCACACCTTTTAGCTGGTGTTCCTGTTCCGCGAAGGCTGTGGCCCTACCAATAACACTTCCAGACTTTTGTAGCTTGTACTCTGGACGTGAATGTGGTCTTGAAAATCAAGCATAGATGCACGATTTGGGAAGTGGAAATTTCATGCATTTTCATCATGTTTGTGATGGGACACATGGATATGGAAATATGACATTTCCTGCAACTCTCCACACTTTCATCTCTAGCCTCTGTATGCTTAGAAGCAATTTCTATGGTAATAGAGGCCATGTTTTAGTCCTCTTTAAGTAGTTCTATGGGCCTTGATTGGGATTTGTACTGATCACAGAAGCTTCTGGACGCCAGCTTCCTGTTGCTGAATTCAGCTATTGTCTTTCATTCTCAAATGCTACTGTCACACACTGTAACAGAAGCAGCATTTCTACTGAAGGGTCAGTTTTAAGTGCCCTGGCAGAATTCCTAGAGGCTCTACACAGTTCTCTCTTGCCTTTCTCATAACTTTATTAACTTGTACATTCTGTATTTTTAAAAATTCCTGTTCTCTGATCCAGGACTGTTCTAGCCAGCTAGAAATAATGTGTACAACCTGAAGTTAGTGAACAATCACAGGGATCTGGGGCAGAGACAGATAGAACCTCCGCTAATATTCATTTTGCCCCTCTCATAGTCACTGAAGAGCTTTTTATTTATCCACACTCCACTTGTTCCTAGATGCTGCCATAGCCAGCTTGTCTTGCCACTATGAGACGTCAGCAGATGGCTATGTGTCAAGCTGCTGAAAACTTTCCTATTTCTCTTCTCTGAAAGCTGAGAAGCAAAGGTAGAGGTGCACACTAGCAGACAAATTTTGTTGGTGGCAAAGTTGTCCTGCCACCAAGGATACATATCCATTACTTCCGGATATGTATCCTGCTTAAACTATTCTATTTCTTTTCTCTTAACAGCAGCTCAGATTATAAGCTAAACTAACCTGAGTTATATGTGAACTCTGATATGGAAGACCAAGTTTGAAAATGCATTTCTTGATCAACAAGTATAGGTTGGATTACATGTAAAGTATGTTCACAGGAATAAGATTGGAATAGCTCCTCTACAGTCTATTTAAAGTCTTCTGGTACTAGGCTGGTAATATGCCTTCAGGTCAATATATAATAAGACATTTAAAAAGCTGTGCGAAAATCAGGTCTTTAAAAAGCAAGCCTGTTACTCCAATTGTGCAGAACTGTGCAGATGAGGTAACAAGCATCCTCAGTTTCCTACCAGCCCATCAACAGGGGAGTGTGTATGACAGGCTTTCTCTCAGAGTGAGGTGGTTGTTTTGTTGCCATCATATTCAAAGCAAGGTTAGGAGAGGTATTAGAGATTAATTCCAAAAGTGGTTTAGATCAATGAGGTCAGTGGCATTAGTATGCAAGTCCAACAAATAAGGAAAAAATCATTCAAACTTCTTCTAGAAACATGGAAGTAAACTTTCAGGGCCAAACACTTACATTTTGGATAAAGGGCCAACCTTTGCAGCAGGCTTTTGTAATAAATTTTTATCAACAAATCTGTGATTTTCTTTTTAAAATCATTTTTTTTTTTAAATAAAGTGAGATTATCCCTCTGGGAGGAGGCAAAAGCGATTCTAAAACAGGGGCTCCCCAAAGTATAGAAGTCAATTATAGATACTGGTAATTTAGGTCTCCCCAGTTTCACTTCAGTTTCTTACCTAAAAAGAAAAAGCCAATGTTAACAATTGAAGTGGTTTACTGTCTTACTAGTTTGGAAAGTTGAACTTGGCCAAGTTCTGTGAAAATGTACACTTCAAAGTTGTCGAAATGAATAACATTAATAATATTCAAGAACTATTGCACACTTTCCCACAATCAAGGTCTTTGTATTTAACACATGAATGCTCACTGCAAGCCCACAAGTGCCAGGATCCTGCCATGTTTTAAAAATAATGGAAATATGCAAAAACCAAATGTAGGTTATTTATTCTGCCAATGTGGTCTCATATGCTTGGAATATTAGTGCCCTGACCAAAGTCTGCCATGTATTAAACACATACAGCATCAGAGTCTATTCCATGATCAGACATAAGTGTGTGCCACCATGCCTGGTCAGCTTATTTTAAGAAATGGAATGATGTTGAACTGATCCCATGGAATTCCATAACAGTATTCTCTTAGACAGACTCTGATCACATTGGATTCATATGCAGTGGTGTACTCTAGGAAACAATCTCACAGTGTGGAGACAAAATAAGGAAAATTCCAATGTATTGTTTTTTCATCAAAGGCTTCAGCCAAACAAATGAAGTCAGGAGCTGGATAGTGCTTAAGCATTAAAGTTAGAGAAACAACATAAAGTGGGTCACACTGTAATCCTAGGCTTCTGTAAGGCTGAGGCAGGTAGATTGGGAGTTAAAACCCAACTGGGGCAAGTTAACTGTCATACTCAGCCATTCCTCAGCAGCAGTGTGGGATTATCCTACGGACAGTAGCTTGGCTGGCTCATCCTAAATTGGACAGGATGATGGCGTAGGGATTTATCTTGGTAGGACATTGGGTAAGGAACAGTCATCATCTATTGCAGGCTCCTGAAGGGTGATCTTTACATCTGACATCTCACGGTAGTGTCTCCAGAATCCAGTTGCACATCACTGCTCTCCCGATAGACCTCCAGGCCTCTTAGATTGCCTGCGATGATGCTTCCAAGTATGGCCAGAGGACTGCTCCAACCTAGCTTTACTACTGCTTTATCCTACAGTATACCCAGTGTTGTCCATGTTCAGGTCCTGAGACAGACGCTGTCCAGTCTGTTCTCTGTTCGTTGCTCTTCACTTTCGCACTGGATTCAAACCCAAGCCTGGATTCTCAGCGCCCCTGCCCAGTGCGTTCTCCAGTATGGGCCTGGTGGTACTGTCTCTTAACTGGTTCTGTTTCTGGAAGATGGTGCAGTCATCCTCGGGCCAGCTTCCTGTAAGGAGCTGAGCAGGTGCCAGCTGCGGGCAGCACCAGCTGTGCTTCAGCTGAAACTTCACACGACTCTCGTAATTATCGTTGGAGCACTTTGCACTACGTAAGGGCCACCTTCCTGCTACGAAGCTGGCGCATGTATATGACACATCTCAAGGTTTTTCAGACTATTTCCGTGTACCTTTATTCTTTTTCCTTTACTGAGCCATCCTTTCCTCGCACCGCGATCCCGGGACAACGCACATACGCCCTCCTCACCTTTCCTCAGGCATCCGCCCTCCGCCTAGGAGGCCATGTTGGTGAGTGACGTCACGCACTGTCGTCGGTGTGCTGACGTCACGCGCCGCGCCGGCGTTTCCTCATGCACCTCCCGTTGGAGTCGCGCAGCCTGTCGGCGACAGTTACTCCGGCCAGTCTGAGTTCTGTTGATGCTGAAGGCTGGCAGCGGCGAGAATGCAAGGCGAGGCCTAAGAGAGCCCTCATTTTTCTGACGGAAGCCGCCTTGTTTTCGTTTTGCTGACTAGCCTCGGCCCCGCCTCCGAGCGCCCCAGCGGTCTCCCAGGCAACGAGGCGCCGCGCGGCCCGGCCGGTGGCGGCGCGCGTGCGCGGAGGGCCCTGCGGCCCGAGAGCGGCCGCCGGGGTCCCGGCGAGGATGGCGCGCGAGTGCGCGGGGGACGAGGCGCGGCTGCAGGCGATGCTCCGGCAGCTGTTCCGCAGCGTGAAGGAGCGGATCACGGGCGCGCCGTCCCTGGAGTGCGCGGAGGAGGTGCTGCTGCGCCTGGAGGAGACGGACGACGGCTTCCACAAGTAACGCGCCCCCGCCGCCCCTCGCGCCGGTCGGCGGAGTCCTGTGCGTCCCCGAGCGCCTCCGGGGCGGCGACCCCAGCGGCCTCGCGCCCGGCCGGGCAAGCCTTGCGGCGCTGCGGGGCGGCGGCCTCGGCGAGGTGGAGCCCCGCGGTCTTCTTCGGCGCGTGTGCTCAGGGTTTCTTTTAAGCCTCGGCAGTTAAGAGTTGCCGCGAAAGTTCTTCAGTAGGAGGAGCGTGGCAGCGTTTTGGAAGGCAGGGTTGTCGTTGCGCTGTGGTCTCTAGTCAGGACATCTAGGTTAGGGACACGGTTCTGCGGGGGGAATCGGTACCGAAAAATTTCATGCAGTCATGTGCGCTTACTCGCAGTTTCATGAGCTGTCGTTTACAGCTTCTCAGAGTGGAGTTTACGGAGTGGAAAGTGTCTCCTTACAATTCCGACACTTTTAGTAGTTAGGTGTACATACTTATTTGTATTTTTGTGATTTTTCTTACTTTCTTTTTTTCTTCAGATTCACTGGTAGCTGTTATGGAACGATAATATCCTATATTTTAGAGGTGCCAGAGTTCAGTTTTTATTGGTTAGCTGTTGATTTATATTTAAACAGTCGAATCTAGAAAAATGGGCCTTCTCCAGTACCAGTTTGGTTATTAATATTTGTAAACTAATGTAGTGATAATTTACCTCACATAACTTTACATCAAGCAGTGAGAGCTTAACTCTTTAATTTGTAGCATTTTTCTTTTCAGTAGAAGCATTTAAAGTGACTCATTTGCCCATGCATACTACTTTAGTTAGCTGTATGAATTTTAAAATGTTTTTCAAGTTAAAATTGGGTCATAGTAGTTATCTCTCATACTAGTGACTTTTTAGTGCTGTCTTCTTCAGTTTAATAGGTCGGTAAAGTAAATGCTTGCTGTGTACAACATCAATAGTTATTTACTCAAGGGATTTAGTTGTGGCCTTTCTAAGAAGATTGAAGCTGATAATACATTGTAGTCTTAGAAGTGAAGATACTTAAATTCATAATGTATTAGTGCCACTAGCCTGAGGTCTGTATCTTAGGAGGAGGAATTCTTAGGCAAGGAAAAGAGGATGTCTGTATAATCTCAGATTGCTTGGCGTTGTAGTTAGCCATATTTCTGTTTTTCTTTTCACCCACGTTAACTCTTCTCAAACAATGTTCGTGAGTCACTCAGGTATGTCTTCCAAAGGGTTTCGTACTTTAAGATTCTTTTCTATCAAAGGCTTGGCTTTTTACACCTGATACTTGTTAATAACAGGAAAAATAGTCTTACTGAAAGGTTTATAGGGCAGCCTGCGGCTTCTGGCTAGTAGCATTTTTTTTTCTCAGAAGGTGGTTTTTAATACAGTTGAGTCCATAAATGATGTAGTTTTAGGCAGCACAATAAAGTGGGAAATGCAGTATAATCCTAGACAGGTTTTGTTTCATGGGCTGTCATCTTTGCTTTAAGAATCTCTTGTGTTTTTCTGCCTTAAACTGCACACTTCCTTTAGAAGATCAGAGCTCTCTTTTCTCACAGAGTGGCAGTGGGTTATTTGGTGCCCATGTGGGGAAAGTGGTATACATGCTTTCCTTATGTGTGTGTTGTGTGTTAACACTCTCTATCCTCCCCTCAGGAAACAAACTGCACTAGTTTTCACCCTCTACACAATAGAATGGCTAAGGAAACACTTGCAAGCATTCTTTTAGAGTAGGGATAGACTTGAATAGTGAAATGACTAGGGACTACATATGCACTTCTACAATTAATGTGCTTGTCTAACAACTTTATCACGAGTCGCAAGCTTATTCTTTGTCCTAAAACGGTTCAAGGAGATGTAAAATACTTGTTTTTTTCTATTTCATAGTCTCTTGTACATTAGTGTGTCTTACAGTTCTCTTGGTGAAATACAATCTTTCTTTTTTTTCCCCCTGTGTGTAATTCTGGGGATTGAACCCAAGGACTTTGCCCTGAGCTACATTTCAGCCCGTTACCAATTTTTAAACTGTTGTGAAGTTGTCCAGGCAAGGCTTGAACTTGTGGTCCTTCTGCCTCAGCATCCCAGAGTGCTGAGGTCATAGGTGTGTGATATCACACCTGTCTTTAAATATAATGTTTTCAAAATTCCCAACAGCATCATTACAATTCATAACTTACACTAATTAAGCATCTTTAAAACATCATCAGTGATAGTTTTGAAGTAGATTATTTAAAAATTTCTTAGTTGCTTAAACAACTGTAAAGATGATTTCCTGAAATTAACTGGTACTAATAATATTGTTCATGTCCTTGTGTTATAATAGTAATCTCTGTATCTCTGCCTGTTTTGTTAACATTGTAGACACTCCAAAAACTCATCATGGAAAATCATTGAATTTTCTTAGAAAATGTAGGTAATAAAGCTGAGAAGAGAGAGTGGAAAAATGTATGTTCTTTTATCCAACTTGGTAAAACTTTCCTATGAGTGTGAAAAATTTCATACTCATCAGTGAAGTAATATCAGGCATGTACTGTATATTTTTAATACTTACGCTTTTGAAATGTGGTGTTGCTCATGTGTTTACTTAATAGCAAGTAAAATTTAAGTGACTGACTTTGAGGATTTTACTTTTTTTTTTTTTCTGTTAGACCTTGAACTCAGCATCTTGTGCTTGCTAAACACATACTGAACAACAGCCTTAGAAGAATATTTTGAAAAGAAAATTTTGCATAATTTGATAAATAAAAAAAGTAGTAATAAAAAATAATACTGAAATAAAATTTTAGTTTTTTCTC